GGTATTAGTACTGATATCTGTCTATCTGTCTATCACTCTGTTTGTCTGTCTATCTGTCTTGAAAATGAAAAGCAGTATATGGTTCATTCTCCATTTGGAGGGGAAACCATGTCACAGATAGACAGATAGATAGACAGACAGACAGACAGATAGACAGACAGACAGATAGACAGATAGATAGACAGACAGACAGATAAATAGATTGACAAATAAATAGATAGACAGACAGACAGATAGATAGATAGATAGATAGACAGACAGATGGACAGATAGACAGATGGGCAGATAGACAGATGGACAGACAGATAGATAGATACATAGATCAATAGACAAACAGACAGATGGGCAGATAGACAGATGGACAGACAGATAGATAGATACATAGATCAATAGACAGACAGACTGACAGATAGATGGACAGATAGATAGACAGATAGATAGATAGACAGACAGATAGATAGGCAGACAGATAGATAGATAGATAGATAGGCAGACAGACAGATAGATAGATAGATAGACTGATAGAGACACAGACAGACAGTCTTACAGTGATCTCATAATGATCAATATTATTGATCATGTATAGATTTATGATTATTTCACTCTCTAAAACAGTTCCTGCAGCAACACTGAGATTCATTCAGTTCTTACTGCTCACATTCAGACACGGTTTGACTGAAACAAGACACTTTGTTCCCTTATGATGATGATATGGATGATGGGGGTTGCAGGACTTATGCTCATGGTGCAGTAGGCTGGGGAAAACGGCCTGATGGGGAAAGTCTCTGAGGGAGTCTGAAGGTCTCCTGCGGTCCGGCCCCGTCCGATCGTCTCGCCCGCTGACCCTGACCGCGTCTGCGTCTGTCCTAAGTGTAGTTTTCTCAAAGGTCAGACAGGAACGCGCTCATCAGAGTTTATAAAAAGAAAATGATTGTTAGCAATTTAGAGGAAAATACAGGCAGAAAGTTACAGGCTTCAGACGTCCAAGGTCTCGGCTGTGGTCTCCTCGGTCTCTCAGGGTTTCACTGGTCTCGTATAAACATTCCATCATCCCCGTCAGCTTTAAGTGCCATTGTAATTTCCACAAAACGCAGAGTACTGAAAAGGAACGCTGTATACAGACGGACCGAGGAGAGGTCGGGATGGACTGACCGCTGCGTTTCTGACCCACAGACTCCTCACGAGCTCTTAATTCATAACCATGCAGATTGGGCAGAGGGTCCGTAGGGCTGACTGAAGTCACTTTGTTCCGTTAAGAGGTATTTTACAGCTTTAACCTGAGAACACAGAGCTTTTCAGGATCCACACACTGCAGGTTTCTGTTCAGGGGCCGAGAATCTCCTTAGCATTCAGTCTTTCAGTCTGAGGAGCAACCGACAGCACTCCACTCAGAAAAGAGAAACATCTCTCCATCCACAGAACGAGAGAGAGAGAGAGAGAGAGAGAGAGAGATGGAAGGAAAGATGGAGAGTGACAGATAGACAGAGATAGAAAGGGAGAGAGAGAGAGAGAGAGAGAGATGGAAAGAGAATGACAGAGAAATGGAGAGAAAGAGAGAGATGGAGAACCAGATGGAAATAGCAAGAGAGAGATGAAAAGAGAGAGACTGATAGAAAGATGGAAAAAGACAGAAAGATGGAAAAGAAAGAGATAGATGGGCAGATGGAAAGAAAAAGAGATGGAGAGATGGAAAGAGAGAGAGATAGATAGAGAGATGGATAGAGAAAGAAAGATAGAGATATGCAAAGAGAGAGAGAGAGAGGGAGATAGAAAGAGAGGGAGTGAGGGGGGCAGAGAAATAGAGGGAGAGAGAGAGAGAGATAGAAAGAGAGAGGGAGAGAAGGAGAGAGAGAGACAGAGAGAGAGATAGAAAGAGAGAGAGAGATATAGAAAGAGAGAGAGAGAGATATAGAAAGAGAGAGAGAGAAAGAGAGAGAGAGACAGAGAGAGAGAGATAGAAAGAGAGAGAGCGAGAGAGAGACAGAGACAGAGAGACAGAGAGAGAGAGAGAGAGAGACAGAGAGACAGACAGAGAGAGAGAGAGAGAGAGAGAGAGAGAGAGAGAGAGAGAGAGAGAGAGACAGGTTACACTCTGCCTGGTTCAGAACGGCCGAAGAGGCCACGTTTGAGAAGATTGCAATGTCCCCAAGTTTTACTGCCAAAAACAACAACAACAAAAAAAGACACGTATGTAAAGAAGGACTGTGATTCAGCTCATTAAGACACTGAATCGATGTGCGTTTGTGTGATCCAGCTGCTGCTGCCTCACTGACTCCCGGCCATAGACACGCAGTTACTGCGTCAGCCTCAGTTACAAAGCTGACGCCTCCAGAAACCTGAGGCTTTGGGATCCTATAGTTTTGATATTCTGAGTTACACTATGTACTTAAAAGGGGAATTCCACCTGTTTCTCAAAATTTCTACATAATTAAATGCTTAAGATGTAAACAAAGTCATTCAGAGTGGTTTGGTGTGAAATGCTCCCTTATAGAGTCAGACCTGTTCACAGTGGTGGTGATAGGAACCAGACGTCCACCTCTAAAAGCTCCCTCACAGAAAGTTACTACATGACATGGTTATGAATTCACTGCCTGATGACTGAGACATTCATGGTAGAAGCGCACATGCAGGGCGTTGTGGAGCAAAATAGTCCTCAAAGAAGCCCCTTAAAGGACTCGTGTAGGTTCACTGGTGGTTTTGGATAGTAAATAAAATGTCTATATCTGTGTTGTAGTCATGGCGACCCCTGGTTCCTATCACCACCACTGTAAAGACATCTGGACCATTTCACACCAAACCACTCTGAATGACTCTGTTTACATCTCAAACACTGAATTATGCAGAAATTTTTAGTGGAATTCCCATTTAAGGTCTTTCAGCAGGGCTGGAAACTTTATACCCACTGAATGATTTCAGTTCTACACAGTATGAATAAAATTCATATCAATTCAATACTGAATTTAATACCTAAGAAGTCTCATCAGCATCTATGAGCCAAAATCTAGACTGATGATTAATTTACCCAATTCCAGCACCACACTCCCTTTTCTGGTTTAAGCCACACCCACTTTCTGTTTGCAACTGAAAAGAAAGTATAAAAAATATCAATCAAGAATTGTTATTGGTGAAAGTGTCTATATTAGTATTGATCGACGTCTGAAGAGTTTAGGATCATTTTAAACTATAATCAGTCCTAGTTACAGGGCTGCCTGGTCAGCATCGGCCAAACAACTTCAAATATTATTTTTATTGTAGTGTTTTTCAGTGTTTGTCTAGCCCACACAGTGTGAGCTTTTGATTTCTATAAAGAAATCGGAATCTGAGCTGGCCACAAAAATTGGTGCACCTCTCGCTCTGACCACAAGTCCTCACTTTCTACCAATTGTCCTTCATTTTGACCAGTAACTGCTTGTCTATGGCCTGTTCCACCAGACCCCCTCCACTACTCACGAAAGGTAACAGCTGGTGGTCCACGCAGCCTGGGTACATGTATATGTGTTTATGTAGACTTTCCTCATCTAGACACATGAACGTAGAGCTTTCTTAAAAAAAAAACAAAACAAAAAAACAAAAACAAAATGCAATAAAACAAAACTGCATTAAATATACGAACGATATATAAAATATTAGACTTCCGTACTGTCTATATGCAAGAACATTCTATATAACTGTATTTTAAAGGACTTTATAATGAGCCCCGCTTTTAAAGATGTGCAGTTGCACTTTTTGTCCACTAGGGGCAGAACAGCACTGTCGAATATGAACACTGGATACGTAAACCACCGAAGTAGTGCGGCTTCATGTGAAAACCTTTCAGTTATTTTTATGCAGCATTTGAAAACGCCAGCTGCCCTTTACATAGACTGACGACTCGATGACCAATAGAAATGGTCCAAAGTTACGTGGAATAAAAGCTCTTTAAATTAATGTACGTCAAAGTTAAGCAGGTTTTCTCCTTCTCTAACAGCGCTGAGCAAAACTCAGGCATTTATTAAATTTCCAGTTAAAATAACCACTCAAAACAGGTTATTAACTTTTCAGCACCAGAAAAAAGCAGAAAACATTTATTTAACAGAAACTCTAAACTAAATATAATATCAGATTTCAAATAAAATCTGCAGGGAGATTTTTTCCACACCTCCAAAGTTCAGTCTTGGAAGTTGGTTTTGGATTTTCTGCTTCTCACGATCCAAATAATCCCAAACACAGTTTTCCAGGTGGTTGTTAGGAGTCGTGCTTTCTCTATATCTCAATTTCTGAACTCTAATTTTGAAAACTTCCTTATTGAAGTGGATTATTTTATATTTAATCTCCTCAGAAACGTCTGAAAAATGAATAACGTGTATTTATTTTGACTGGAAATTAAACGAATGGCCGTCTCTGCGCAGTAATGTATAGAGTTGTCATTTCAGAGATGCGTTTTAGTTACACCAGAGGCAATATTTACGTTCTCAATAGCGCCACTTCTCCCCCCTGGTGGACAGATGTCTTCTGTGCATCTTTAAACGTATTGTATCGCCTCAAACGATAATGTTTAAGTTTAAGACAATGAAAAAAGCACCACAAAATTTATCATACAGAGATCTACCCATACAATGGTATGTACAATGTATGCCAGCATGTAAGAGAAAGACAGAAGAGAGGGAGCGCAAAAATCACTTAATCAAACTCAGAGCCCGTCATGCAGGTTAAGGAATATACAGACGCCTGAGGGGTTTCACCTCCGTGATACAGGTGGGCATCCGGGACGCATACGCACATTCGAGTGTGCTGTAGAGTGAGTCCCATAGTGCTGATGCCAGTAAGAGCTCATTTCTCTGTTTTTTTTTGTTTACACGTGAACAGCTGGTCCTTTTAGGCCATTTTTTATCTTAACTGATGAAACGTGAAGAAAAAAAACAACAAAACAAAACAAAGAAAGATCATCTGACTGGCGGGGAAAGGGAAGCGCCGCTGGTCCACCTGTACTGTGCAAAGGAATGTCTGAGGCCGTAGTTCTGGATTTGAGGTTTTAGGTGCTGTGGTTTCAGGGCTCCTCGCCGGACGACGAGGCGGCCGCACCGCCGTCCGACGGCTCCGGCTCAGGCGAGGCAGCGGCGGCCCGTTTCGGATCGGCCGAGTTTTTGTCCGGACTGTTCCCCTCCGCGGAGCTCTGTCCGTCCTGACCTTCCGAATTCTCCAGCATCTCCTGAATGAGGGGCGGCATGGAGCCAGGAATCTCCATCTTCAGAGAGATGACACGCTCGGCACCTAAAAAAGAGAGAGAGGAATTAAAGGGCCGGTATGATGGTTGTGCTAAGTTCTAAGGAGTGTTTCAGCTGTGCTTTTCGAACGAGGCACAGTGCTAGGCAGCCAATCAGAACAGCTTGTTTTAAGACACAGTGACAAATCAGCCTGTTTAATTTTAAGCTCTACTGAATTTTTAGTACATAAAATCACAAATTCATAAATGGATATAAGAAAATTGCAGGATATGGACCCATTAAGGTAATTTTTAATACATAAAATCACAAATTTCATACATAAATTTAAGAAAATTGTAGGATATGGGCCCTTTAAGGTCATTTTTAATACATAAAATCATAAATTTTAAGAGTGGATATAAGAAAATTGTAGAATATGGGCCCTTTAATGTAACATAAACTTAAATTATGTTTTTATTTTGACTCACTGTAGATGCTCACCTTGTCTTTAATTTAGTACCATTGCAACCAGTGTTTTCCATAATATAAATACCAGATACAGTCAAATGCACAAGTTAAAAAAAGCCAAATTATATGTTGTTAATTAAGTGTAAATAAGTTACACATCCTCTACAGAGAACACACCACTGCACATTTTAACATTACTTTAACAATTACTGTTTATTTTCTGAATTTAACATATTGGGGAACAAGTAAAACAGAAAAAGTGGCCTGTACAAAAGTTGCAGCATATTTTATGTTTTATTTTTTTTCCAATATATTAAACTCACCAGTATAAGTAGAAAATAGCAAAAAATGCCATATTTAAGTATTATATAAACTTATTTTCACTTCAACAACACGTAATTTGACTGGGGGGTTTCAGACTTTTGTACACAGCTGTATGTATGAAGTGACGCTGGTAGAGCACTGCTTTATCAAATAAGGTAGAAAAAAAGAGATTTCACACAACGATGAATAAAATAACAATGAATAACTGAGACATGTAATTCCCAACTTCTGAACATTTTAGTGTGGCCATACACACCGATCAGGCATAACATTATGACCACTTTATCAGCTCCACTTACTATATAGGTGCACTTTGTAGTTCTACAGTTACAGACTGTAGTCCATCTGTTTCTCTGCATACTTTGTTAGCCCCCTTTTACCCTGTTCTTCAGTGGTCAGGACCCCCATGGACCCTCACAGAGCAGGTACTATTTGGGTGGTGGATCATTCTCAGCACTGCAGTAACACTGACGTGGTGGTGGTGTGTTAGTGTGTGTTGCGCTGGTTCGAGTGGATCAGACACAGCAGTGCTGCCGGAGTTTTTAAAAACTGTGTCCACTCACTGTCCACTCTATTAGACACTCCTACCTTGTCAGTCCTCCTTGTAGATGTAAAGTCAGAGACGATAGCTCATCTACTGCTGCACAGTTTGTGTTGGTCATCCTCTAGTCTTTCATCAGTGGTCACAGGACGCTGTTGGCTGGATATTTTTGGTTGGTGGACTATTCTCAGTCCAGCAGTGACACTGAGGTGTTTAAAAACTCCAGAAGCACTGCTGTGTCTGATCCACTCAGACCAGCGCAACACACACTAACACACCACCACCACGTCAGTGTCACTGCAGTGCTGAGAATGATCCACCACCCAAATAGTACCTGCTCTGTGAGGGTCCATGGGGGTCCTGACCACTGAAGAACAGGGTAAAAGGGGGCTAACAAAGTATCAGAGAAACAGATGGACTACAGTCTGTAACTGTAGAACTACAAAGTGCACCTATATAGTAAGTGGAGCTGATAAAATGGACAATGAGCGCAGAAACAAGGAGGTGGTCAGAATGTTATGGCTGATCGGTGTAAATGCATTAATTAACACAGAGAGTGATCCCTGTCTGCTTTGCGATGTTTGTCCGTACCTTTGGCGCTGATGCTGCGGAGGTCTGTGATCTTCATGAGGGTCTTGGGGAACATGTGGGGCTTGCTGGGCCTGCGCTTCCTCACGTAGATCTTCAGCGCTTCCAGAAGAGGCTCCTGCAGCTTGTCCACCTTCGAGGGCTCCTCCAGGTCCTGACGGTCTGTTTGAGCATAGAGGAAAAAAGAGAGACCTATAATAGCAGCGTTTTATAAGCACAGCTACTGTTACCAGTGAGCAAAAGCCCACATACAGCACAGTCCGAGGGTCTGTACTGCAGAAATTTGGATCTGAAATAAAACAGTCACTACAGAGTTACATCTGTGCTGAGAAAACCACACAGGAATCAGAACCATCTCCCCCATTTCAGGCACCAAGATTAACTAAATGAATTAACATAGTCGTAAATACAGCTGTCATATTTAATACTTCATTGTAAATCCTTTGCAGTCACTGGCTGAGATCCGTAAGCGGTAGGCATTATCAGCGCCGACTGTCTTCCCTGAATTGAAAAAAAAAAACATCTTGGCAAATTAAATCAAATTTATTCTAGTCAACATATGTAATGGCTGTCATTATGAGACTGTTATATGAATATTAAGATTTTTTAAAGATAAATAAGCTTATTTAACTTGTTTCTAGTTGTTTTTATTTGTTCTAAGTAATATTATTTACTGAAACGGTCCTATTCCATTGGCAAACTGGCATTATACCTTGAAACAAGCAAAATTATTTCATAATTTAAGACTTAAGATGCTGTTCGCATGCAAATTACATGTAAATAAGTTGACCTCTTAAAATCTCAGGTTTATTACATACTAAGGGTTATTATTCAGTAACTACAGGGACTTCAATGCAAACCGGCTGAGCTATTCTTAGGTTATAGAAGTGTGTAATAAAACTTTGGGCCCTGGCCATTTAAGGGGTTAATACATCCTCTAAAGAGAACACAACTAAATATGATTAAATATGATAAATATGATATTTCTTTACAAAATTTTATTGCACAATTTATATTTATTTGCTGAGTTTCACATATAAAACGATAAATAAAAAAATATATATATTGCACCATAACTTTTGCACGTTTTGTTAAATTCCATCATTTCAGGTCACGCCATTTGAACGAGGGCTCCCGAACCTTTTCCCTGCCTATATGTACTGGAGAGTGAAATGTTTTGAAACTTTAATAATGTTTTAAAAACCACAGCAAACCAGTTTTAAAAAAGGGAGGAATGTGTGGTTTTCTGTGAAATGGGGCCCTTTAACTCCAATGTGCCACTAGGTGGCAGTGTTGCTATGAAAATGGGCACCAATCAGCCCCCCACTTTGTGAGGGGGCAGAGGTGCCACCACAGACTCTGCGCTGCTTTTCTTAGCTCTCCTCTGGATTATGCAAGAGTGTGTAAGAGCGGGCGCGGCGCCGAGCCTCGGGACCTCCGAGTCGAATATATAACACTCACAGAGACACGCCTCACTCCACACACAACCGAGTGTGTGTTCTGATACTGTAAAAAACTTCAGACTCGCCCTCGGAGGTAGCAAGACATCCTGAGGGGTCTAATTTCCTGTCAGGCAGGAGGGACAGACGACATGCACACAGACACAAAGGCAGCAGCCAGGTTAAACTCAGTAACAGCAGACATCGTATTTCTCATCATGCAGGCGCTGAAGACCCCATACCCACCTTCTGCTCCAGTGGAGCTCCCTGTCTTTACTGCGCCATGATATTAGAATGATTTAATCTTGTCGAGTTTGTAATTGAAAATGAGTGGAAGGGCAATTCCACCAATGTTGCAAAATTTCTGCATAATTAATTAGTTAAGATGTAAACAGAGTCGTTCAGAGTGGTATGGTGTGAAACGATAGGAACCAGACGTCCACCTCTAAAAGCTCCCTCACAGACAGTTACTGCACGAAACAGTTATGAATTCACTGCCTGATGACTGAGACACTGTTTTACAATACAGTTTTGGCCTAAAACATCATTTTAACACCTATAACATCTTAACATATATATAGTTAAGCAGGGGTGACAAAGCAGCAAAGCCATCTAATCATCAAGTTTGAATCCTGGTGTTGCTGCAACCAAAGGTTTTGCTCGTTATCAGTGCATTTCTGATGATGCCAGTTGGCTGATTTAACATTCCATCCTCTGAAACCACCGTCTCAGACCAGTGTTTATTCTAGCACCTCACTTACCTGCCTTATTACCCCACTTATCTGACTGTTACCCCACTTGCCTTCCTTATTACCCCACTTATCTGACTGTTACCCCACTTACCTGCCTTATTACCCCACTTATCTGACTGTTACCCCACGTACCTGCCTTATTACCCCACTTATCTGACTGTTACCCCACTTACCTGCCTTATTACCCCACTTATCTGACTGTTACCCCACTTACCTGCCTTATTACCACACTTATCTGACTGTTACCTCACTTACCGCCTCATTACCCCACTTATCTGACTGTTACCCCACTTACCTGCCTTATTACCCCACTTACCTGACTGTTACCCTACTTATCTGTCTGTTACCCCACCTACCTGCCTTATTACCCCACTTATCTGACTGTTACCCCACTTACCTGCCTTATTACCCCACTTACCTGACTGTTACCCCACTTACCTGACTTGTAACCCCACTTGCCTTCCTTATTACCCCACTTATCTGACTGTTACCCCACTTACCTGACTTGTAACCCCACTTGCCTGCCTTATTACCCCACTTATCTGACTGTTTCCCCACTTACCTGACTTGTAACCCCACTTGCCTGCCTTATTACCCCACTTATCTGACTGTTCCCTCACTGATCCCTTTCTTTGCTACTATACACTCTTTAACTGCTGCTGCACTCAGCACTTTAACTTAAGACACATACTTTACACAATGTAAGGTTTACAGCTATGACTGTGTGTGTGTGTGTGTGTATGAGTGAGTGATGGTAGGAATGTTTTTAATTTAATTGAATTGAATTTAATTGAATTGAATTGAATTGAATTGAATTTTATTTTATTTTCTTTACTGCATGTGAATGTCAGTCTGATACTGTGCTCTGTGAGCTCCTGTAACCAAAACCAAATTCCTTGTATTTGTAAGCAAACCTGGCCAATAAAACTTGATTCTGATTCAGATTCTGATATTATTGGTCAACTGATAGATCGGTCAGGCTCTACCACACAGTGGGTGGGACCTGACTACAGATAACATTAAGGAGCAAAAATCAGGAAAAAGTGATGGAACAAATGATTATAGCAAGAGTATCTTTATCTTTTCTCCTGTTAAAGAGACACAGAGGCCCCCCGACAGTCTCCCTATGACTCATCTCAGGGATCCCACTCCACTGCGCACCACTCCACTGACAGTTACCGTTCCCCTGTATGACCCGAGCCACTCCCCCCACCCCCCACAGCGGGCATGCTGAGCACATGCGTGTGTGAGAAGCCCACCTCCGGAGATGAGGCAGATGGCGGAGAGCAGGCCTGTCTCCGTGTCGTCCATCTCGATGGGCAGGAGCTGGTTGGCGAAGGTGAACACCAGGTCTGTGAGCGGCCCGAATCCGGCGTTGTGCATCTGCGTCCGGTTCAGAGTCAGCCCGTCCGAGAAGGTCATAGTGTCCTGGTCCGGCGTGTAACGCGTGCAGATACGCAGGATCTGCGTCCACACAAACACACAGAGCACAGATGAATACTAGGGCTTGACCGATATATCAGCACAGCAGTAATATCACCTGGAATTAATCGGTAAATGACGTTCTCTCGTAAGTTTCCTAAAAATAAACAGCTTTCAGGTAATAAATGAAGTCAGAGGCCGCGAGGGATGAACAATCATAGCTATTGTAGCACATTCGCGAGTGATAAACAGCGTCAGCAGGGCTGGGCAATAAGACAATATGTATTGTTATTGTAATAAATTGCATCACACTATGTCACAATTTGCTTTTCTGAGCATATTGTGGACAAGGTCAGTCCTTAAATAACACTGACCAACAGCAAAGCAGACATAATTAGTCCCGTTTAAATGGACTTATTATACATTGATTAAAAAACACTGTATTCATAGTTTTTGAGAATATTTTTTAACTTAACTTTAACTTATTTTTTGAATATACTTGTTCTTTTGCATCCTTTCAGAATCATCAGATGCTAAAATAAATACCATGATAATACTGTGTATCGTGGAAGTATTGTGATATTATATTTTTGCCATATCGCTCAGCCCTAAGCATCAGTGCTGTTTTTATTACCCAAACAGGAGTCGACTCTGAAAGCATGTGGCACAAGTTGACACTTGTTAGCTATACATATTTTGAGTTATGTGTAAAAAATATTCATCACATTTTTTTTGATACACCTCTACAGATCGCTGCATCACTGTATTGAGCGAGATGCCGGATCCACTGAAATTGGTGCAGGATCCATTCTGGGAGCTGCTGGATCTGAATCTGGCACAAATTATGCTCTGATTATCACCCAGTGCTCTGCTGTGCCGTTCACTTGATTGATTTTGAATTAATATTTGGGCTGAATTTCTGGTGCTGCTGAAGCCTTCAGTGCTGACTTCACCAACACCTGAATCTGAACTCACACAGCCAGCTCTGGAGTAGGGTGTTTTTAACCAGGCTTCTAAATTATATTACTTGTTAAGGATGCTTTATAACAGTGTTATAAATACAACAAATGTCCATCACTTTAATAAAAGGCCCCTTGTGTAAATACAGTATCATTTACTAGCAATTACTGGCATTAACCGTTCATAAATAGTCACGTATTGCATCATTAAATCTGCTATTTAATGCTTGTGTTGTGAAATCCCTATGTAGGTAGCCTTCGAACGAAGTTACTACATTTAGTATAATCAATGCTAAAATCTTTATGTAAATTAAATTTATGTAAACAACCAAATAATGATACAACTATCTAAAGATCAGCCGTTCCCAACAAAATTCAATACCGGCTGTTTTCTAGTTACCGTAACCAAACCACAGTCACAAACTCATCACTCTTTTAATGGCGTACCCAAACTCTGAAGAAGTGCCAAATGACTCACTTTAAACTTCTAATTAGAGGCAACAATCCTACATTTCAAAATCAAACACTTTCAGCAGTGAAATAAGAAGAGTGTACACCAAGCTGGACATAAACAATGTCCAGGTAAACTACACTGTTAGAAATAAAGGTTCAGTACATTTTTCGTTCATCATCAAGGTACAAACAGTGTAAATGTTCCCTCAAAAGGTACAACAGTGGTTTTAAGGTCTGATTGTGAACCTTAAATAAGTTTTTCCAGGTGAAAAGTTCATATTTGTACCTTTTCATAACCGAATGTTTTAAAACAGAACAGTAAAATAAAAGCCTGGAGACGAGACGGGGTGTGTGGAGTCAGTACAGCTTAGAACATATCATCTCAGTGGATTATGGTTCAGTTATGTTCCCTGACTAAAGGTACTGAGATGGACCCTTGAGGGTCCCACCCCAGTGACAAGAGGGGTCCTGCCCCAGTGACAGTTCAGTACCTTTATTTCTCAGAGTGTATGTTTAAGATGAAGCAACTGATACAGTATTTTTAAACTTCTAATACTGGCATCTCTATTTGTTTTATGTGAAGCTGAATCAAATTTATTGCACTTATGGACGCCTGCTGATCTTCTGAAATGAAGGGTATTAATAGTGAGTTTGTCCCTCTTTCCTGCAGTAACAGCGTCTACTCTCCTGGGAAGGCTTTACACTAGATGTTGGAACATTGCTGTGAGGATTTGTTCTGGATCACTCCAACTCATCCCAAAGGTACTGGATGGAGCTCCATCAGTCCAGCATTTCCACTCCATGATGCCTTTTAAATGAAAGTGACAGGTAGTCAGACTATATAAAAATATCTATATAAAAAAAGCTTTTTGGACATTAATGCTGAAAAAAAGAGTTCACATGCAAATTATACTTGGTGTCATTACAAAAGATGCTGCCACTGCTAGCTAAGATTTCAAGGTGCAATCATGGTGAGGGACCTTCCTGAAGCTCTCAGGTAGAACGATATTAAACAACACTTCAATGAAAAAAGCTACAGAGCCCTAACAAAGGCCTTAAACCTGGCTTTTGGTCCACCTGGTTTGATAATATGCAAATGGAAAGCTCAAGGAACCCCAGCTAACTGTGTCCCTGGACAGGCCAGGAAAGATCTCCCTCAGTCTAATGATCAGGGATGGGGGAGTAGCTAAGTAGCGCGCAACTTTTTTGGGCTAACTACAGTTTTTTGTAGCTAGTAGCTGTAGTGCCTACAGATTTTTGTGTAGCTATAGCGAAAGCGATAATTTTCACTATAATTTCGCTTCAGTCAATCTGTGCAAAATCTGAACCATAGAACACGGTTGTTAACTGGGCTGGTGGCGACTCTGCAACCCTGTGCAACTGAGTCACAGACACTTCGAGCAAACAGTCACGCGCTGTTCACCCCTCACTAGCAGGCTTAGCTAAAGCGTAATATTACTGCACATGCAGATTTGAGAAAACCAGCCACGTCTTCATTCCGCTCAGTCGGCTGCTATAAAGCGAGAAGAGAAGACGTGTTGTGTGCAAGAATGGCTGACCTTCCAGCAGTTCCACATTTTTTGGAGGCATACATGGAGTCGTGATTCTCACCCCAAACAGAGTCAGGGTCACTGATGAGAATATTGAGGCTAAAGTGTTGCTGAAGTTTAAAGGACTCTGAATGTCATGTCTGTCTGTACAGATCTTACTGAAACGTTTAAATTGGAGCAGTTTTATTTCAGCAGTTGACGATGCTTTGAACAAAGTTGTTTGTTATTTTTGTTGACTTTTGTTGGGAAAAACCTGGACTGATTGACTTTGCCTTTACTTAGTCTAAATTTTTGTTGGATATCACACCTTTGGTTGTGTAAGTTTGATTGTTGGTTACACTTAAACTCCCTTTTTGGTGGTCTTTTTGTATATTTGCAGCTTTTCAGTTGTATGTTTCTTTCTGGCACAGGATTAAATGCAGTGTCTTGTTCACACTGTCAGTTGGGCTTGTTTGGTGTGTCAGGTGGAGATTCACAAACGTTCTGACAGTCACGCTTTGAAAGTAGCTAAAAAGTAGCCACTACTCTTTCTGGAAAAGAAATATATTTTGAAAAAGTAGCTACAAAGTAGCTAACTACTAATTTTTCAGTATCTATTCCAACCCTGCTAATGATAAAGAAGGTAGGACTGAAGCCAGCAGTCACTCAAGAAGAGCTGCAGGACGACCTGAAAGCAGCAGGAACGTCAGTCACACAGAGAACAATAAGAAATGAACTGCATCGAGATCGTCTCCGTCTTCCAACACCCCACGCTGAACTCCTCTGCTGCAAAAGAAGCTCAGAGATGCACGTCTAAAACATTCAGGCCAATCAGACCTCTTCTGGAATGATGCTGTCTAATCAGGTAAAACTAAAATAGAACTATCTGGCAATAATTCAGCCCATCATGTTTGGAGAAAGAAGGGTTGAGCGCATGAGGCCAAGAACGCCCCCTGTGAAGTACGAAGGTGGGAGCATCATCATCATACAGGGCTGGGAAACAGCTGTAATTGCCAACAATGACTTTGTAAGAAGTACTGATGCATTAATTTGTGGTGTCGTCGACAGACATGCTTTTTTATTCATATTTATAAGTACAAAGACATTCTGTGTGTGTTTGAAGCTGATCTTGAACTGGAAATATTAGAAAAACAAAGAAAAGTGTGTGAATATTTGTTCTTCCTTGCTGTATATTTGCGTGAAGTGTTAAGTAGTGAGAGGTATACTGTGTGTGTGTGTGTGATGCGAGGCAGTGTGTATGGCTGCTATATGAACCCTTTGAAGCTGATGCAGTGAGTTCGGGCTGACAGTGATTGGCACCAACGTCAGGGAGATGAAACAGAATAAAACATGGCTGCTGGCTGGGCTCACACACACACACACACACACACACACACACACACATTGTTTGATCCTCCCTCTAAAGCCAAACTCCACAGCACAATATACCACCGTGAACAGTCATCACAGAGGACAAGGTGAAACTGGCTTGGGGTCTGAGTGTGTGAGAGACAGAGAAGAAGAAAGTTGTATGAAAGAGAAATGTTGTACTTTAAAACAGTCAAAAGAAAAATGAATAAAATCTAACAACTTCACTCATCAATGTTAGGAACGGGGGGGTTATTATAGTAGTAATCAATCAATTAACAGTTATGTTGATGTTAGTAATGCTAACCATACAGTAGACGAATTTAAAAAGACTTTGAAAAGACTTTTTAAAGACTAGTCTGAGACCCTCTCACACCTAAAGACCATCACAGAGTTTTTAGTCACGGATTATGATTTTGCAAAGACTGGAGATCTTGCAGGGTCACTGTTTGCAAGACTGCAACTAGATTTTTGAGAGTATTTCCCATCATGCACCTGGTGGAACTTTACAAGCAGACAAACCGTTTTTCCCTCTTCACTCTATAGTAGTACAAATGGATAGATACATTTACACTTACAGCGTTTGACAGACGGTCTTATCCAGAGTGACTTACAACATGATCATTTTACACAGGTAGGTGAAGGTAGTGTTAGGAGTCTTGCCCAAGGACTCTTATTGGTATAGTGTAGGGCGTTTACCCAGGCAGGGGACTGAACCCCAGTCTATAGTGTA